TGAGATCCTGCTCATTTTAATGTTTTAACTTCTTTCTAAAAATCTTACATGCATGTATATACATATAGCATGAAATATTATGCGGCTGCCTCTGGCCCCAAAAGCTTGACGCAGAGGGATCTAGCCTGAAATTCATTCTCCCACCATTTCCCTCCACTGGTCTGTCTCATTCTCTTGCTCTGCCTGCAACTCTCTGTTGTCTTCTCCTGTCCTCCTCCTCCTCCTGTGCTCTTCCTCCTCCTTTCTTCCATCTTGCTCCCTCAATCTTGCTCCCTTGCTCACTGCTTTTTCTGACATCTTTCTCTGCCTGTTACTGCTGCTTGCTTGGCTGTTCCACTTGTGGTCTGTCCCTTGGACACACACCCTCTTGCTTACTCACACCTCTAGCTGGCTCATGTTGTCCAAGAAACAACTAACCAGGGGGTGCTGGTGTGTGGCCTCTCCCTTCAGTCTGTGCCCTTCACTGTAAGAGGTGCATGTGAATTGGTTTCAGTTTTTTAAATGGACACACTAGGTCTAGAAGACCTAAGGCTGTTATACCCATGTAGGTTGGGGACTAGGCTAATGGCTGAGCAATGCCTGATGAAGGATTGATCAGGAATTATGCTGACAGGTACCTGCTGTCAGATCTCTCCTGCTGCCAAGGCCAAATGGTCCTAGAAGGTAGTCACAGCGTCCATGAGTGACGGGGATACCCATGGCCGCCCAAAAGGGCAAAGGGAGCTGGGCAGATCCAGCCTCTACTGTCTAATCTCCACAGCCACCATCGAAGCATCTCAAACCAGGCAGATAGGAAGGCTTGTGATGGGAGAAGATGGAATACTATAAATAAATATATAAAATATATATTTTTCATCAGACCAGATCAATATGAAGTTACATAGGCTCAGCTTTGGGCTGGACAATGGAGAAAGGTGAAATCACCAGTGTATGGCCCTGATTTATTGACTGATTTGACTTTCAGGTCACCACAGTCTTAGGACTGTTGGTGCTGTGCTTTCAAAAAGCAGTAAGGATCTTAAGACTGACATTCAGGGGACATGTGGAGGGGGGTCCTGGTTCCTGCTAGAAGGTGCTATGAAGAAACATAAATTTGAAACAGAAAAAACTGCTTTGAATTCAGAACCGAAACTTATGACTATTTCCCTGGCTGGAAAGTAGAGAAAATCAAGCTGGGTGATCAAGGGAGAACATGAGGATTGTCATGCACTTCTGGTGCTTAAACACTATACAAATGGGGAAATGCTGTCCCTATAGAAGTATCTCTTTCATTGTACAGCATCCCAAAGTAGCACAAATATTTTCATTTTGGAAAATTCTGCAACAGAATCTCTCTTTCTTTCTTTCTTTCTTTCTTTCTTTCTTTCTTTCTTTCTTTCTTTCTTTCTTTCTTTC